GAACCCTCAGGATGCTAGGCTGAAGAAAAATTCCGTAAGGTTCAACACACCATACTGGAGATTGCGAATGCCATAAGGACTTCTTGGAGCAAAGCTCCAGATTTGCAATGCAAAAAACAAAGCTGAAATGAGGACATGCCTCAGCCTGGTTTCCTAAGGAAACAAAGCTTATTAGAGAGAGGGGCACAGACACTGAATTTCTCTCATTTCTGCCTTCTCCCCCAACATTTGAATCTGTTGATCAGTTTTAACACTCCTTCACAGAGGGGAAGAAGCCACAAAGATATGAAGTTCCTATACACTTTGTGAAAAATTGGCAGCTGGATAAAGGAAAGAGTGAGATGCATGTCTCCACTGAAAGCTGGCAGTTAGTTTTTCAGTTCTAAAAGGGACACCCACTAGCTGGCCAAGTTGTACTTGCATTGCTCCGAACTAGTGGCAGCACGTACTACCACAATCATTCAATTTTACATTTACTTTCAATTTGGATTTAAAGACATTTGCTATTTAAAAGCAAATTAAATTTAAGCACATCTATTATTAAAAATAAAAAGTTAACAATAAAAACTAGTTGAGTTTCACTGTATTAGCAGTGCAAATTTGGGGGGGGGGGGTTGGTTTTTTTTGTTTTTAAACCTACTAGAAAGCGTGATTCTACTTTTGCAGCACACTCTTTTCACAGGTCTTCCAAAGCCCGCTTCTACTGACACACAGCAGGATCTCAGGCCCCATCCTGTGCATTGGGTGCTATATCAAAACTGACAATTCTAGAAAACTATCAAATAAAGATTCATAGTCACCTCTTCTACTTCATAGCTAAAGAACATTAAAAAAAACTACTACTTTAACAACTCCAACTTAGGGCTACATTTACCCAAACTAAAATGATGAGAGTTTTGCTATCAAATTCAGAAGAAATACAATCAAATTCAGACAGTAGTCTTCAAACTTCGGTGACACCATCTCTGTAGAGAGATGTCTATCCTGACACTATTCTGATGCAAGGAAGAGTATGGAAAAATTAAGTATAGCCAGACAGTTCATGCCCCAGCAAAAAGACCTGTCAAGTTGAATCATTGCTAGAGGAGAAAGTCAGCGGAGCATGGGCTGTTTGTTACGTGCACACGATCTTAAAGTGGTGGATGAGAAACACTCTTCTGCAAATGGATGATACCAGCAGGGCTAGACCCTAACCAGATACCTGTGGTTTGGGTCACATTCAGTCACACATAAAGTTTGGTTTGGAACTGAACAAATCGGGGGAGGGGAATTATGATTAACATTTGCAATTTAAAAAATAAAACCAAACAAAAAACCAACTATCCTACTGTTTGCTATAATCCACATTCTGAATGTTAGCTAGGCTTCAAAGTAGACTTGGAAAGCACCACCCATTGGCAATAACTATAACAGCAATTCATCTCTCATGCAAACCTTGCATAAAACAGATTCACAGCACAAGCAACTCCCACAACTGCTAGCTTTGAGTGATATCCTGAAGTTTTCAAAATGCATCACGCTCCATGTTAGTCATGCAATTATCAGCAGGGATTTGCAGGAGGAATGTAATTTCCCTCAGCAACTACTAATATGAAACATATACTTGCAAGACTGGCAGACACACACAAGAAAACCAGAAAACTTGCATTTTTTTAATCATAAAAATAAATCAACTTTTCTTTTCCTCCTACCCAACATACATGCTTTATCAGTCCTTATCACTGATAGCAGCCTTCAGTCCTGTCCAAATACTCCCATTCCCCAAGAATGTTATTGGAAAAAATAGTTTTCTTCCTTTTCAGTTCATAGAGCAACCTTTTTCCTTATAGCCCTTTGACTGAGCAGCTAAGAGAACGAAATGAAATATCCAACAGTTATGAAAATAATGAGATAGGCCCTCAGAGTGAAGCTTGGTTGACTTTGGAGAGCACATGCTGTTCACTTTCACGGTTGTATAGCAGCTACCGTGACAGCACTGCCATTTTGGAGTGTTTAATTGGAAATGGGAGGATGCCTTTAAAACAGTAGCACTTCTGCAAGAGAACCTTCATCACCTTCTAATGACACATGCTGCCCCATGGGTCAATATGCTTAACCAACGTACTATAAAAATCATGTATCAATTGTTTTCAATTTTGTTTTTTGTACTCTGCTGTTTCCAATTCAAACCTGGAAGGGCCTTACATACCTGAAAGCTCACCTACCCTTTCCAGCAACGTAAGTTGGTCTAATAAAAGGCATTACTTCTACCCATGGAGCTCACCTTACCTGAAAGGAAAAAAACCTGAATCTTGAGTAATACTTAACTATTTTGCTATTTATTCCTGTAGCTTTTTATCACCTTTTCAACTGATAGCTGTACACAGAAGCAGTAAGATGGCCAGCTGCAAAACTGCAATCACAAACTCCAAAGTTAATCTGGAATCAGCTACTTGATTTGTGTAGCAGTTGTCCTTATACCCACCCAGTGTTTTATCTGCATATAAAATATTTCAGCTAGGTTTACTCCTTGCAGTCCTTTCATTCACATAACTCTTTTACACAAAGAATCACTACAGACGTGTACAGTGATTTGCAAAATACTATTTGCAAGTACCCATAAACTTAACTTCTAATTTAAAAACAATGCTCATATATCTACCAACTCCTTTTTTCCACTGCAAACCACGAATTTCTAGAAAAGCTATACTCCTCCTACTAAGCTTGTATCTTCATTGTTGCTTCCAGCCCCTACCTTACTACCAGTCTTCACGTTGTCTTCCAGAAGTGCCTTTATCTGTTATGGTTTAGTCTTACCCATTTCTCATCAATAAAAGTATCAGACATAGAGAAAGGGAACAGCTATGGGAAATGGGTTTGCAAACTCACAAAAATAGCACTGCATTGGTTTACACTTTCACATTATCTTCAGGGTCGTAAATGCAAGGACATGCTTTTTTTTCCTCCCCTGCAGTAGTTAAAAATACTGAAGAACTTGTCAGGTCAGTTCCAAAGTGCTGGCCAGTACATGAAAAGGATTCCAACACCTGGTACTATGCAAAACTGTTATACATATATCAGAGTATTTTCAACCCCTTAAAGCCACAGCAACATCACAAGAAAAAATTATGCTGGTTGTATGTCATATTTTAATCTATATGCCATAACTTAATCTTCAAAGCTTATTAGATTGGAAAATAAATCACAGACATTGAGACTACTCATTACAATAATCAAAAGTAAATTCTGTTGTATTATGTATGAAAACAAAACAATATAAGGAAGTTCCAGGAAAGAAATTAGGGGCTAGGACTTCTCATTCACTATGGTTTTACCTCCACTGGAGATAAAAGGGTGTGATCTCAGCTGATTTAATGTGGTTCAAGTTAGTCCTGCCTCCTGACAGGGATGCAGTTTTCAGACTAAGACGAACAAAAAAGAAATGAGGAAAAGAAATCTCATAACCAGATGCTACTCCCAGAGGAAGACTGGTTGGGAATGTATTTGTATAAATAGAAAAAAAATGTGTTTCTGCTATAAAAAGCTGCCTTTTAGGCAAGTACTTCTTAAACCATGCTGTACTTAAACAACTTTTCAGCCATGTTTGAAGTCAGTTCTGTAAACATGATTATATCTCCAGCATGAGTATCTGCAAGACAAGAGGAGCGAAAGCAAATCCTTGAGCACTTGACATGCCTGGCCCAGCAAATGCTTAGCTATAAATATGTAAGTAATCCTTTGAAATTACTGAAGAACAAACTTAACTATCTGCAGGATCAGGTCACATGTGCAGTGGAGTACAGTAACACAGCTTTAATACAGAAGAGAGTATTTGATGATTAACTATTTAAATCACAAGTTTAACACATTTTAAATGCACCTTGCTATAATTATTTGCTGAGATATTAATGGGGAAAAAGAGTTGTCATTCCTTATATTCCATCTCTAGTGCCAATTTTGCCTGTTTCTAAATTAAATTCTTACTGGCCCTCTGTTGACTATGACAGATTGCTCTTAGTAATGGCGTTGATCTGCAAGTCCAGGGTTATTATGCCTGCACAGCAGATACCTGGCAGAAACAGAACCAAGAATCCAAAGAAAACACACAAGGATTACTGCTCATAATACTTGTTTCTGTAAATGCCAAAAGCTACTTAAAAATAATTATTTTATCTCACCGATCTTCTCTTTGAAAGAAAAGGAAACGTGTAGTCAAGTGATAAAATAATGTGTTCCCATGTTTAACGATCATGATGAAAACAAACTTACCCAGTCAGGTTTTAGATATCTGGTTGCAGATGAGAAATTTTATTAACTGCAAAAATAAAAGTGTAAGTTGTAGCACATTCCCCCCACCCAGAACTCCTTTGTGCAAGGGATTAAGTAGACATAAAATTAGAACCCTGAACTAGAAACACAGGAACATGCTGTTCTTTTTTCCATCTTTTTAACCATGCTTTTGAGACATCCATTTAACATCATAAATACTATTCCTACAATTACGTGTCAACATTTGAAATGCATATTGTATTATATGCTTTTCCCTGGCTGGAAAATACTTGGAACGGTCACAAAAGTAGTGCAAGTCTACAAAAAGAAACAAGGGCTGAGAAGACAAGTCTACGTAAGAATAAGTTTCCAAGAAAAGGCAGGCACAATAGATTTTAGAAACTGATTAGTGCCACTAATGCATTTTATGCGTGGAAATCAATAAACATTTTGTAGAGTTTCAATAAAAACTGTAAGTATAGAGAAACATCACCTTGCCAGTAACACCTAGCAGAACTCCTAACTCCAAACATGCATATGTATTATCCCGATGAAAAACTCGTAAGCACTAATCATTAGGGAAAGTGTTTGAGGAGTCATATGATCAGAAAGCTCAAAATACACCTGATGCGTCTCTAAGGAGAGATAAAAATTAAAGTTGGGTGGTTTTGACAGTTCTAGGCATGTCCTTTATACTTTGCTAGCACCATAAAAAAATACTACTTATGTATTAATATAATCTAGTTACTTACAGAGCTAGAAAACCCAAGACATTTTTCTGATGGATTTAGCTTTCTTTAGATCCAGGACCATCAAAGCATTAGTTTAGCCCAAGCACTGCAAATCAGGCTGAAGAGACCTCCTAAACCCTCTCAGCAAGCAGACTCTGTCAGACAAACAAGCAGTGTTCAGAAAGAAGCAACAGATCTGTTGATACTCAAATACAAGATTTAAGCTCTGGCGAAGCAGATAAAACACACTCATATTGCTCCCTCAACAATCTACCATTTTTAAAGGCCTTTTTTTTTTTTCTTTTAAATCAGACATGCAATCCACTTCTCTCTCTTACAAAAGAAATGCATGTCCTGAGCTGCGGGGGACCTGTGGGTCCCACAGCCACTACACGCGAAGGCCCAGGAGGGATTATTTGCGTAGCCGTGCTCACGGCAGCAGTTGTGAAGTTAAGCACACGCACGGGCAGTGGGAAGGCCGAGGAGGCTTCGGACTTTCTCCTCTGATCTCACGAAGGAGGCCCCCTTGCTAAAAACCCCAGGTAGCTCGGGTGGAGGGGCGGCAGCAGGCGGGCGGGAGGCCGAGGACGCAGAGCAGAGCTGGGCCGGTGTGCTTTCTGAACCCCCGCCGCCCTAGAAGAGACGTCCCCGCAGCCAGCAGCCTGGGACGCCGGCCCGCTCCCCAGGCCCTGCAGCACCGGGAAATCACCTTTTTTCCCAGTATTTCGAGTTCCCTGCCCAAAACACCCGTCCTGAGATTATTTAGCGACTCCTTTTGCGGGGGCGACGTTTCTCTGAAGCCTCCCCCCGCCCCCCCCGCGCCT